TTTACATCGAAAATTGTACGCGACAACTTGAAAATTTCAAGATTTACATTTCCAATGAAAATATGTAATGGCGTCGTGTATGAAGTTTTATGTTTTCAAGATTTAAATGTTCACCTGGAATTGAATTTCAATAGAAATGATAGAATTCTCACGCTATATTCTGGTATTTCCTTTTACAAGATTCTTTTTATTGTAATTTTCGATATAAAAATAATAAATATTCTTTATTGTCAATCATTGATTGAAGGATCAATATTGCTTTGGCTCCTTAACTAGGAATTCCTGTGTTTAAGGAGCCAATGCCTTCCCTTTCAGTTACCTTTTAACAACAAAAAATAAAATAAAAAAAAAACTTAAGTATCGCATGAAACCATACAAAATTAAAGAAAAAATAAACCTACTGTTGATATAAATACGTGGTTTCAGCATTTAACATTGGAATTGACAATTCCATTGCGGCCGGCACCGGAGATGGAGTACAATTTCCTGGCGTAATATGTAATTAACATGCCGCGATCACAAATGTAGCTTTTATGATTTTTAAGTTTATATTTATTTGAAATAAAAGGATATTAACGATTATTACGATGTCCAAGCTATTGAATTTAAGTATAACGTTGCTTTAAAAACCTTCATTTGTTTTAATTTCTTTAACATGTCTCTTATTTTGTCTGTCTACGTATAGTTAACGTTTCTTCGATGAAATAATGGTTGTTTATAGCAGTATCTAATATCTTAATTTAAGGTATTGATATTTGAATTATTTGTCTATATTAAACGTTATAAATAGCGGATTTTTAGATGTTTATCATCGACAAATATTCAAGGAATAATAAAAGTAATTTAATTTTATTACGGATTGAGCAATACATTTTTTAATTTTCCGTTTCTCACAAGCAAGGTCAATGACATTTTTGATCATCAAGTTGTCATTGTTTTCTTCAAAGAAAAGTATTTTATATTATTTAGTGTGAATCTTTGTATATGTTGTTACTCACTTTGATGCCTGTTCATTGGCCTTTAAGTAAATAACTTATGAGTCAGTATGACGGCAAGCTCGCTTATTCGTATGTATGTTAGACTTCTTGTTTTAAAATTAATTGCCATGTTCTCTGACGATTGCAATCTGCTGTTGACTCATAATAAAAAAAGTTTTATTCTTGCATATGACATAAGAAATATCTTATAACACATATTTATGTCATGGTTAGCTTTAAGTATTTGAAACAGTGTTTTGTCTACACTGCACTCAGAGACTAGACTAAAAATATATGAGTTGTGCAAATGTTTGCCAAGAACTGACCTTCATTCGTGCGTCACAAACGTCATACATGCTAACCAGTGATCCAAGTCATAACAGAAATTAACGAAACAAAATTAAGTTCTAACTGTGTTTAGGGCTATGGATAAAATAATAAAAGCACGGAAACGAAGCAGTAGCCTTAGATCTGTGGCAAGGAAAGGATGCTTTGCAATTAAGATCACTAAATTACGTAATCCTTTTTAATATGACACCTAAATAGACATAACTTCGCTAGATCGTAATTTCAACTAGATGCAGTTATTAGACTATTAGAGCTTTACATATTCAAGTCACAGATATTCTAATTGAAATTTGTATGCACCATCACGTGAAGCCTAATTTTGGAGATGCCCATACGGTCACTCACAACGGAGGACAAGCGTCCTTCCTCACATCCGGTTTGCTTGTCACATCACTCGGCCACGCCAACTGTACCGTTAGCGCTATTTGCACATTGCGATTGAACTCTTTTTGTGTACGTCACGCCTTATTTTTGCCCAAAACTATTTTAACCGGCCATTGAACCAAGTTAACTACAAGTTAGTATCTTTTTTAGTCAAAATCTATTTAAATATATAAGGAGATTAGAGAACCTATTTCAATATGCATAAACTAAGAGCATAAAGAGATGCATAAAGTAAGACTAAATTTATTCAGATTCATTTTTTTTAAACTTTAACTATAAATCTGTTGAATAGCGCCATCTACCGTCGAGTAGTACAACGACAGAGGAAACTCTGACGTCGGTGATTTCTTTACTGTCCGATAGATGTCTCTTTGCCTCTTACCCAGTTTGCGACATGCACTTGTACACCACGCTACGGTAGATGGCGTTAAATGTAAGTAAAAATTGTAATTTCAACCATGTTAGACTAGAAACATGGAGTATGAACTAAAAATCAAAGTATAATAAATTGGCAACAGATATTTATACGTTCTATGAGATTGCACATATAAGCGTTTCTTTGTTATAATTTTTCAAATGTGTCGAATGATTTATAGTGTCTTGTAGTTAACACCCACAATGTTATTGTCTGTCTGCCCAAGTTAATTACTAATGAACAAAGAATTTTTCTTTGAGAAAGGATTCTAATCGGATCATTTGTTTCGATTTTATAACTACAATCAACCGAAGATGATTTGCTATCACATTAGTCTGAGGGCAAATGAAAAAGTTCCTGAAACCTGTGATTTAGGTTCGCTACCTTTTAATGTCTTAGATTTAAAAATTCGAATGAATTTCAAATTTACTTAGGTTATAAAACAGTATTGGGCGAAATAATTGCTTTTTCTAATTAAACTTTGAAAAGAACGCATCACTACAGCCAAAATTTTATTCTTATACTTGTTTCTCAATAGTTACCTCTCACCTTTGTGAACACATTTTTAGTTAGAGTTACAATATTAAAAAGCTTTTAGCCTCATTTTCTCTTTGAAATCGCTGCCTGTTTATTCCAAATAAAACTCAATTGAACCTATAGAAATATAGTTTTAATTACATCACGGACATATTGGGATCATCGGCTGAATAAATAACTATGTTATTTTAGTCTAAGGTAGAAAAGGTAAGGAGTAAAAGGTTAGCATGGTATGGGCATGTTATGAGGAGGGATGAATCGCATGTTACAAGGAGAACGTTAGTTATGAGTGTGGAAGGGTACACCGATAAAGGAAGACCTAAAGAGATATGGATGGATTGCGTAATAGGTGACATGATCAAAAAGGGAGTGATGACTGAGATGATGTATGAATTATTTGGGGGACAAAAACCTGTTGCGCCGACCTTACGGGAATAGGATAAGGAGGACGATGATTTTCGTCTAAGTATTGGAAAAAACTAAAACCAATATCAAAATGTACCTATTCGTCTCACTTCTTACTCTTTAGGTGCGAAAGTTTGTTAGATGGATAATACTTATGAAATTACTACCTTTCGCTCACGACTCAGTCCGCTTTTTTATTTCCAACATATTGATTTGTTGAGTTTTACGATACGGTAACGGGTCGGTCATGCTCCTACACTTTGTATGCAGCTGTCAACAAATCGCAGGGCGCGTGTGAAAGGACTTCTGATAAGGTAGGACAGATATCCCTTCACGTTGAAAGGTCCTTTATTTGCTATGTTTTTCTGATACACCAGTATTTACGATTTAGCTCATTTTTATGGTCTTAAAGTAGAACTAGTCCCATAAAGTAACTTGTTAATATTTTTTACAACCCCAGCATTTTATATCGTCCGCTTGCTTGCGTCCATTTAGAAAAAAAATATAAACTTTTTCTATGAACTTAATTAATAATTCCAGATCACGTTTTATTTGTATTTTGAAATGATAGTTTATTTTTTTGTGATGTAATAAATAAATAGTTATATCAGAGCCGTTTCATAAACTGACGTGAAATTTAGAATAACATCAATCTAGAATTCTAGATTTTATTTATTATTTAGAGATATAGATTTGAGAGTTATTACGTAATTTATTTAAATAAATAAACAACTGCGTAATCGAGTTATTGTATTTTAATTTACGTTTAACGCTGCATTCAAAGACTAAACAAGCGTAATCTCCTTTTGTATTGTGTAAAAATTGGATACGATTTGAATCAAAATATTATGTCTTACATATAATTATAGTATAGAAGACTACATTATCGGTGTTAGTCTACGATAGTTCACCGTGAAGCTCAGCTAAACTCGTCGGCGCCGAGCATACGCTGCAGTATGCAAATACTACTGCACCGAACCGGTCCCCGCTGCTCCTACGATAAGCTGGTACCATGCCCGGGAGATAGCAAATAGATAAAATCACCTAACTCTCAACTAAGGGCCATACAATCGTATACGAGGGCGTTGATTCGTCGACACCACCCCTATGTTAAAACGGTTGCTAGTCAACAATAGATAAAAAATGAAATAATCCCCCTTGTAGTAATAACAAAACTAGTTTCCGTAGTAACAATTTTTGGTTATGAAAGGGTCCTGACGATTGCTCACAGAGTTAATCCATTACTGACGTCAATTTTATTGAGGCGTGCACTGATACGTATTGCAGTGCAGTTAATTAAAATAAAAAAGTGCAATGCATCAGAGTTGCGTGGAAACTTGCGTTATTTGATTCAAATCACCTCAGTAACCTGATTCTGTCGCGGAATAACTAATTGGCATGTTTAATAACACTTATTTGTCGAACTAGTGCTTTGTTAATTACATTTATTGATGTATATACATTAATATGACGTGTTCTTAAAAGCAGTCATCATAACACGTCACAATTTCAACTTCAGATATTATACCAAATCTAGAATAAGATTCTAAAGTTCAGTTGCTTTAATTCACACAGATTAAAGACTGTTAAATTCAAATTGTGTAATATACAGAGCTTTTTGATTTACCAACAGCTGCCTTTTTACCACCCGTAGCTTTTAACTTCCAACTTACCTATCACATTTGTATCATATAAATGCCTTATAATTCCATCTTAAGTACTTAACTTAATCTTCTCATTTCACGTATTAGTTCCATCCCATTAGACATGGGTCTGTCGCAAAGTATTAAAGGTATAAGAGTGTAGAGATGTGGTATAACTGACGGATGGTAACGGTCTTGAAGGCGACCAGCTGCGAACAGATGAGCGGTTCTCGTTGGTTTGGCGAAATCGCCCTCCGCGCGCGCCATCGCAGCGGCACGGCACCAGTCGGCCACCGCGCGGTCCCCAACGCGCACTGTCGTGTTGCGCGCGACCAATTTTAAAATCGAAATCTCTCGATCAGTGAAGGGAATTGTGACAGAAGTGTTGAGTGTCAAGTTCAGTGTTGGTATATTTCGAATTGATTGTGGCTTTTTATTACTATTTGCAATTCATTCGGTTGATGTCCTTTTGTTTGTTGTAAACATTAATTATTTTTTGGAACGAAGTTCAATGTTTTTAACGAGATACTTGTATTTTCAAAGAGAAGCTTTGCAATAAATTGCAATGCTTTCATAAGACACCTATTCATGTTTCTTGATAAACGTAATGAAATAAGGGACTTTTAAGTTCACAACGAACTTATTTTACACTTTAGAACAACTTGTCTGCTCATGGTCGTTACATTGTAATTTAAATAACGAAGCTCTAAATAGTTAACTTTTAAATATCAGATCCTGTAAGTAATCAGTAAATTGATCCTAGTTTTGCGAACATAAAAATGTTATAGTTTACAAAACTTTTTGCTCAACTTATATTTCTTTAAAACGTTTGTGTCTTTAGTGAACCGAAAAATAATTTCCTTTTAAAAGTTTAACGAATAATAGTCTCCATAGGAATTTAACAGTAAATACTCCGTGAAATGGCCGTAGGCTTTCGAAATACTGTCGTAATAGTTTCTTAATTACTTGCCTATTAAGTTAAAGCACGATACTTTGTATAACGACGCTCGCAGAAAACCGCAGAGATGATCTACTATTTAGTTAATGTGTTGCTAGGAGTGAGATTGGATTGCAACAATAAACCTGGTTTATAATCCTCAATATGGAACTCTCTCTCCGCTAGTGTTATAGCCTCGACACGAAACATCTTTAAAAACGGTTGCTTATTCATATTTATCTCGTTTCAATATCGTTATGTCATTCTCGAGATTCAGTTTCCAATAGATATGATCTGATTTAAAATATCTCACAAGACAATATCAAAACAAACTTCGACGACAGTACTGTTTACTAATGCCTTTTTTGTATTTCAAACAGCCTACAAAGACATTTTATATGACTCGCGATTTTTGGTCCAAGACATACTCAATAATAGACAAAACAAAATCGCACGCTTTTCTTAGTTTGATACATTTATTACAATGTTTTTCATAGTCGATTTATTCATTCTATGCTAAACTTAGTACATACTCGTATAGAAGTTACTAACGCTTCAGTGAGCAATATATTATAGTCGTAATATTATCGCGCTACAACGATACCCTCTTAACTCATTATAGTTTATAAATACATTTTTAATGCAGGCCAAATGCAATCATGTTTTAAAGCTTTCGATTTTGTTTTTAATGCTCCACCTTCTAATGGAATATTCTAAATATAGGATGTTGCTTTTGCACCATTATGTAGTGTATGATTAATTGAAAATGTATCCCAGAGATTTAAGTTAAAGTAATTTTCAAAATACAGTTTGAATATACAATTTTAGTTTTCAATATCGCTAGAAAAGTGTAGTCAAATGAGAGCTTTTTCAATGCCAAATTAAAACTATAGTCCAATAACGACGGACGTAAGTCATTTTCAATATCAAGTGGAAACTGTAGTCAAATGTGCGTATCCTTTTCAATGTCAAGTGAAAAGTGTAGTCAAATGGGCGTTATGTTCGATCGTTGACCGTACCCGGACTCGTGTTTTTGTGGTGGGCACGACTGTGGCAATAGAATTGTAGCACGTGCTCAACTCCAATAAAGTTGTTCTGTCAGTACAAATGTTTGATTTGATTGTTTTCACCTTTTGATTATTTCATTGACGCATTTTATAGAGGAATGCTCTTGGTTCTAGGACGTTCGAAATCTCATTTCGTAATGAAGCTAACTTATCTGATAGTTTTATTTATAAGGCAATTTGAACTGTATTGTTTTGTTCAAAGATTAAATTATGTATCAGTTTCACATTATCATTATCATAGTTCGCGTAAAATTTACCATAAACAGTACTTAGGTTTAAATTACAATTGTTCCCTTTCATATGTTCTTGAGCATAGATTGTTACCGCACAATCTCAGCAAAAGCAGGCCTTCATACTATTTTTACTAAAAAACGTTACGTCGCTGTCGGGTCTCGACCGGGCCTTAGTCCGTGTCTGTTATTATCAAGCCGCTATAACAATTTCAAAGCATGTACTTACAAAATAATTGCGTTTTCTAAGCACGACTCGCGGGCATTAACTTTTTACGCATTTGCGTACAGTTTATGGTATTTACAGGGAAAAGTTTGAACGTTTCCCAATTCATTTATAAACAATTTTCATTTATAAGGGAACCGTTAGTTATCAATTTAATCGATTTACAAAACAAAACATAAATTAGTAGAACTTAACTAGATTTTTTTGTATGTTAGAAATAATGTAAAAAGTTAACACAAAATCATATTCAATACAGAAATAAAATTAATCAGTAAATGTAATTTAATGTAGTGAACTAATGTTTAATAAAAATACCAAAATCAGATTCGCAAGAGCGAAAGTAACAGTGGGTAACGGAGTCATTTCATGTCAGCGTCGACAACGAGGTACCGTAACACAATGGACTCCATGTTACCCGTATAGACGTGCCTATCCGGATTTCGGTTCGGTTTTTACACATAACATCCCTTTTATACCAATACTGCATGCAATATTGAATTTATAAATTTATTATATGAGGCATTTACATAAGACTTGAGGTAAAAAGTTCATACATTCTAATCGGATGTATTTTATTTCGTATGTCAAGTTTTTATGACTATTGTTCAACACCGGTGTGGTATCTTGTAGAATCGACCTCATTACACACTGCACCTGTTTGTTATGATACTGTTTTTAAATGATTTTACATTACAAAGGATGTCAACCGAATTATAGACCTTATTTTATATCATAGGGTCATTAGAAGTTGTGTGATGTGGACCAAATCTTAGTGCAAGGTCAGTGATGGTATGGATTCGCGATGCCGGATTGGCGATACAACGTGCTGTCGACCAGTGAGGCGTTCCTCGACGGCGCCGGCCCGCCGCGAGACCCTCTGGTGTCTAGCTATCCGCGACGCGCCGACCGCACGCGGCCCATACACACCTGTCCCTACACAACTATCTTCCTAGGAAGTCGCTCGCACGTGCCCTACCGTCTGCCAACGCATTCTGAAAACGGTGACCCATTCGCAGATGCATATTCCGTAGATCGTTCCTCCAATTTGACCGATACGTCCAGTTTCGCACGATACGAGGATTGTCGTCCACAGATAGACGAAACGCTATCAGAAGAGAACGAACAAGTTTACTCCGACGAAAAGGCAGATGAAAATTTATCACTCCAAGTTCAAAAGGTGCCATACACATCAAGCGTGTATTATATATCCGCTAAATCAGAAACATTAAACAAAGATGGACAGGGAACTGATCTATTCCTGGTCGAAGCATCGGAATCGGACGCCCTGTCGTCCTGCACGTGCGATAGCTTTGAACGCTGTGAATTCGACTGTAGGGATTTTGAGCCATTTTCTGACACGTGCTGTTGCGACCCACTTAGCGATGGAGTGTGCAGTCGTAGTCCAAAAGTAGTGGAATCACCGGAGGGCTTTTGTGACAAAACCGTTGATGAAGATGGTGCGTCGGCGCGAAGCGATATGGACGGTCTAGATTTAACTTTGTTCGAACCGGCGCAAACGGAATCGAATCAATGCGAAGTTCAGACAACGAGTCGCAGCGCGGGGACGGTAGCGACTGGTCTATGCGGGGTGCTGTATTCTGTACCAGACTCCGGTAATGGTGAGTTGAATGTACATTTGTTATTTAAGTAAACGGAGCGCGACTGTTGCTGAAGGTATTCATTAATAGTGAATAGAAGCGCATCATAGTTCGGTCGGTCGCGCTATCGACGTGTGGTCGGTCGGCACATCGTCAATTGGACTCGTATCGGATACGAGCAACGGTGTGCGGCAAATTACTATCACATCAATCACCCTCATTGTCATAGCTGTAGCAGTAGGCTTATGGACTAACGCTTTATGTACATAACGTGCTCAACGTTTGCGTTAACCATTACGCGAACGAGTCTTTTGATCTTGATTTAACTGTGATTCTTATCTATGAAAATGGGCAACATGCTTATTGCATTGTATATTTTTTTTGTTTAATAATTTCTTACAAAGTAAAATGCTTGTTAAATATAACAATTACTTCATTTGAAGTGTCAAAATGATATAAAGTTTTCATTGACATAATTATTTTAACCTTTTTACCGTATTTAGTACGGTTAAGTACACTATTTTCGTATTGAGTGTGGTGCAGTAAGTTTGCAGTAACATTGTAGAAAAAAGTTTTATAGTAAAAAATGCTGAATCACAGCAGTGTTACTGCTTTTATGGCTCCAGTAGCGCTAGAATTCTATTACCGTTATCTATTCGCAAGTTTCTAATTACAGCTGGAGATGGAGGGCGATTGTTAACTCGCATGCAAATCTGATAGATGTCAGTCTAAATAGATGCGCATAAAACCACACAACTGTCGAAAAAAAAACATTAATTTACAACGTCTGTAATGAATTCTAACGGTACGTTGATTTAATACGTGCTAATGTCCATTGTAAGGAGCTATCATAAGTCATGTAAATGCAAATTGTCTATTATACGACTAATTATTTTCGTGTGAAAGAATACAATCATATAGGCCCGTTATCATTTTGTAACAACATATCATTAAAAGCACTTAAATCTGTTTAATGGTATAAAATGTGGTTTTAATATAAGCTGGTGCTCTGATTGCCGGTTTCGTACACCGACTCTCGTTTTGTTCGTATTACTATAACAAGCGTAAATGTCTCGGTTCTTCGAAGGGAATTTTAATGCAACTTTGGCTTTGTGTGAAAGAAGGTTGAGTAGTTTATAGTAAAGTGTTTTATGCTGTTTTGTACTGTAGAGAATTGTTTCATTATTGTTTGAAAACAACGATATCGTGATAATGAAATTGATAATTCAGAACTTTTTTGTATTAAATTAGTTTTCAGAAATCACCTTAGAAAATGGATAGAATAGTATTAGCCTTAGATACTTAATAGATGCCTTAAAAGAAATATCAACTGTTATCCCCTAATTTCTCTGGTATTATTAGCATTACAGCAATACTTTTTGTTAACACAAAGAGAGGTTTTAGTTTCGTAATTCGTAAGGGGTCAGAAAAGGAACAGTTCAGTAGGAGCGTGTTCTCAGTGCGAGCATTGTGGTAAAAGAATTACGAGTGGCCCTGGCCGTCACGACCAGCCGTATTTGTGTTATGAAAGTTAATGCGATGTACTTAAATATTTTACGATGTTTTGTTGCGGTCAAAGGGTGTTTACATGACGGACAGCTAGTATGCTGTTCATTTTTTCTTACTCATGAATAAAAAATAACAATACTTTTTAGAAAAAAATCTTTCATTGATATTTCAGGAAGCCTTGGCCACTTTATTTGATGAGAATATTTTTTTTAGTCATCTGTTAGCCATGTTTTTATGAGAGTTATCGATAAAATATGCTTCATATACACTAGTACATTTGAGTTGATTCAAAACCGTAATTTGAGCACAATAACCTCAAAGCATTTCATGTTTCCTTGTTTGACAATCAAATTGTCTGTTTTCATGAAATTGTTCTGTTCTCATGAAATTGTTATGAGAAAGTATTATTTCCTGCTGAGAGCAGACAAAACATCATCCGTTGCTTTACCTGGAAACGGTAACTTCTTTACAAATAATAAACACAATTTAAACACTAGTGGGAAAACGATGATTTTTATCATTTTAGTTTTCTTAATGTGTAAGATTTTTGATTTAAATTTTAAACAAAACTAATGATCATCCTTTCAGATATATTACGAAGGTAAAATATGTAATGTTGTGTTTTTTAATGTTCTTAATAAGGGATTATTTGTAAATCCTTATTGAAATATACACTCCCAAGCCGTTCATTGGGAGTTGCGAATAGTAAAGCTTATTCTGACAAGGATATAGTGCTACCGTACGACAATTTATCGTAAGGTTTGCATTTAATACAGGTTCCATATGTCAATTAACGTGGCCGTCTCCGTCAGGATGGGCTGAACGTGCATCCTCACGCATCTATATGATCCTCCGTGAGCTCATTATAAAGTATAATAAGCCTTCCTGTATAAGGCATTTAGCAGAAGACTTGCGTTTTGTAAGACGAGGAATGGAATTGTTTTATTTATCGTCAGAAGAATACGATGCCGTTAATGATATTTTTTTTGCAGTTTATATATTTCATTTAAATGCTATGGTAACCGTTGGGACTTCTAAAATTTAGAAATAAAATCAAAACGTGTACAAGAAGAAATTGTCAATGTTGAATGGGTTTACAAATATTCGTATCTTTCGTTTTAATACAAAGATGTTAGCGTGAGGAAAACTAATATTAGCTAAGAAAAGCTGGTATTTGAAGAATTTGTGAAAGTGTTATTGTTTATGTATTTTTATGGTAACGGCTCTTTATGATTGTTGCAAGTAAAATGTATTAAAAAAACTGACGTGACGATACTTGCGGTGTTTGCAATTTGTAACCGTACTAGAGGTAATTTGAGTGTAAAACAATACGTACAATGTACTACGGAATTGAATTTACGGTATAAACGTATCAACAAACATGGTTATATTCTTTTAAGTAACTAAATCTATATAAATATACACAGACATTTTGTTCATAATACCTCAAAACAACGAATGGCTTTGCGTTAGTTTTCACATTAACAAACAAAACAAGCTGTTTAATTCGATCCGACAAGTGTAGTTAGTTAAATTGTTTGCAGTTGTTGCAAAGCATACAGATGTATCTCAAATATCCAAGTGAAGTACCGTGACGCCGTAACCTACTTGCAATAAACAAGTGTCGAGTTACAAAGAGAAATAATTATACCATGTCGAGGACTAGTCCTCGTCTGTCAGAGGAAGTTAAATGATAATAAAATAATTGAAAAATTAAATGTGACAGAAACAGAAATGATGAAAAAAGCTCTTGTTATGTAATTTAATCTGCCGCCTTAGATATTCTTTTACTAATGCGTAAAGAATAATATTTTGCTAAAAGTAAATACGAGTTAAAAACTACGTATTCCTATATACTCCTAATATGGATGTAAATAAATTAGAGAATTGTGCCAGGATATCTATCTATTATAATAAAGCGTAAACACACACTTCTTTGTTGCCTAAGATGTTAGCAATTACAGCATATTTTGAACAATTCTTTTTTAATAAAAATCCCTACACTTACGTCATGCTTTAGGCTTTATATTTTCACGCCATTAAACTTAGGGCATAAATATTTTGACATTTGCTATTGATAATTTGCAAAATGTAAACAATGAAATAAAATTTTCATAATTTCTTGCGAAAGAAGCCACACTGGAACAGCTAGTCGTTAAATAAAAATCAGTAATCTCTAAGTCTTGGGCGTGATTACTTATTACTTAAATAAATTTTATATTGTATGAAGTTTACTCTGCAATTAATGACCCTTCCTACTTTTGTCAGTTGCGTAATTTGCCAGTAACGGATAATACAGGGATAGGCATTTCAAGTTCCGAGTTGTTGCTGTGAGAAAACCCATGGCACACCATAATAGTCGCGATCGTTGGCCTACAAATGCTTAACGAGTTTACTTATCGCCATCGATAGTTCGTCCAATAAAGCTGCGACCAAACCAAAGAGATAATCATTTAGTCAATTTGATTTAACAATGACCATAAATAACCGTATAAAGTAACTGATTAAACCAAGATATAGGTAAAAAGTAGCTAATGTTACAAAATGTAAGAACTAAAGAAACTTAATCATAGTGTTTCCTAGGATCTTAGAAATTCATTTCCCTCTTTTGTTTTCACATGAAATACTAAAATCTAACGTCTAAACTTTACATTGACTTGAAAAAAAAGATAATATGTCATTAAGTTCGTTATTTTTAAACTCTTCAACGTATTTCTTTATCTAAAACCTGTCTAAATATTCATAAAAGACAAAATGACCTTCATAAAATGCAATGAAATGTATCGTATTATTTTATCTTATAAGCGTATGACATTGAGATCGTGTTTTCACGTACAAATGTTGTTTGTCCGCATTTTGTTAAGACATTATTTTAAAAAGATAAATTTTGAAATGTCGTAAACGTTTATGACATCAATGTTTAATCTCGTTGTATTTTAGAATTAGTATGTCAAGTCATTTAGGGATTTAAGGTCGTTGGCATACCGGTTTAAAACTATTTCCAAGTCAAGACAGTCAATGTTACTTAACTTTCACCTTAATGAGACTTATGTCAGCTTGTAAAAGTAAAACAATCAGTTATTTATAGACTTTTGATTGGATACTTATTGGACATATAACACTAGTTTGTCGTTAATTTTAATTTTAACAAAATGTGCAAGAAGAAATTAAAAATTTACGAACACTATCGACGTTATTAATGCTGTCTGTCCACTGTAACTTGGGCGGCTCTTTTTGTTACATATAACTATAACAAATGAGTTATTTATTCTTTTATTATTTACCAACTTTTTACCTAACAAGAAGAAAGGAGCAGCTGTATTGTTGGTATTCAGAATATATTCATGGAATTCAATATGTTTCCTTTATTAGCTTCTGGAGTCTGATGATTGTTGAATGATGAATGTGGACAACGGTCATTGTAACCAAATAAGTTAAATGTCAGTATAGTACAGCTGGCGGTGGGCACGCGCCTTGTTATTGCGGCACCTGCAACATTCGCCAGCGCGATT